AAAAAAGGGAGCATAGCTAGGAAGCACAGATTTGGGTTCAGAACCCTCCGGAGCCCAACATTCTGCCAACAACCTAGAGCCTTTAATCCCCGTGACAGTGCGTGAGTGTGAATGTGTTGGAGAAATGTATCGTTAGAATTCCATAAAACCACTAGTCTATGGGTGAAATCCATGACGTAATGGGGCCATCAAACTTAATTGCAGGTAAAATTCAGAATGTCATTCACTGCATAGCTTCATGCTGCAATAAGCAAATGTCCCATGAAGTCAAATTAAAACTCAATTGCATCCTACGCCATCAATAATCTTGGCAAACGCTTTCAGGCGCAACCAAATGAAACCAATCGGACAGCCGATAACAAATTTCACCAGTTGACCCATAAATATAAATCAATAGCATTTCTACCCAGACATACTATTTTTGTACATTAATCTCCTCATAATAACAATGAATACATAGGGAATTTGTCCTATTTAGGTAAACACAACCACGGACAGCTGACTGCTGCACAAACAACTTTCGAAATTGATTCATTTACTTAAGAACGATTTCATCATTAGATTGATCACGCCTAGCTGCTTTTTTGATGTTAATCCTTTCAAGCATTAGTAATCGGTAAGGAACATTTCAGTGGTGAGAACCGGTTTTAGTAGGTTTCATTACCAACCGGACAGAACTTGACAACATTTACGCAAGCAAAAAAGGTGACGATAGTCGTGAAAGTCGTGAAAATTATGTCACGATACCTTTCCATACAGTTTCTCACCTAATTTGACAAACAAATCACTCGAACGGCTACTGTAAGTTCGATAATCTGCTATAAAACCCTGACATTTCTCAACGGCATCTCATCTCGTTTTCATGGCCATTTTAATTTGTGGAACGCGGAGCCTTGGAATTACAAATGTCCCTACATGAGCAGCAAAAGAAGGGCAAAGCGAATGGTGAATAACAACGATCTTCTCCGATTTCAACATAGGCCCTAACCTTCTTTGGCTTGTTAATTCAAATAAGCTTTGCCGGGACTCCTATACTGACCTCATAAACAAATCGATCAAAGTGACTGAGAGGGGGTTCGATTCGATCCAATTTCAAATGCCTAATCGCTGAGTTCCTAAGCATCGAAGGCCCAACCGATAATCAACTTAAACAGTCTCGGAAGGTTCCCTACAACTCCCAGGATCCCATGCTAAGACAACATAAATGATATTTTGAAGCTAACGATATGGTTCACTGTCCTCTCCTTCCCTCTGTTCCACTATCGTCTATCGTTCCGCTTTCTGATCCGACTCCCACAGTGCCGAAAAATGAATGATCACATCATTAGTCAACAGAAAGACTCGTCAACTACTTTTTGAAGACAAAAAAGTGGGAAACCGGAATATTCAAATACGGAAGGGTTCTGGCCGGTTTTCATAAAAGATGCCGTGCAGTTTCAGGAATATATGAGACGTCTGTATGAAACAGAACTCATTTTCCAAACATGTGATTAGTTTTCCACAACGATGCAGTAAATATCGCTCAAATAGTAGTAGAAATATCGTTAATCTCTGAAAACTTTTGAAGCCACTTCTAAACCACATTTCGACATAATTTAACAAACAAAACCTCTTGAGATCGAATTTAAACGGTAACAAACCGGTAGATACTTCAGACCCACTGGAAAAAAAAAACGTTCAGAAGAAGTAGTTGAATGAAACTTTTTAATGTTTACTCGGAGTAGTCAGATAGGAAGCTATGGGAATTTCTTTGCTCGACCAGGCAAAAACTGATCAACAACTTGTACAGGAGTATTGATTACTTCACAGAAAAACAATGTAGATGTATCAACAAAAAACTTAATTCTAATATTAGTTGAAACACTCACGCTTGTGTATGCAGTTCCAAGTTTCGATTCGAACGATTTGAAGAGAGATGAATTGCGCATATCGTTCCACTTGTGCTTCACGGTATCTGCAGTTGCAGCGGCAACTTCGGAAGTTTTTTGGAAGCTGCAAATTAATGATTCTTTCAGCAACTACATTAGCATAGTTTAAAGTCGCAAATGAATGTTCCACTTAATGGGAAGAACTGATGACAACGCTAAAATTGATGTAGGAAAACAAGCCAAAGCGGGGACAATTAACTGTTCTTAAATAACCGCTTCTTTCTCAATGGAACAACTCCCCTGCCCCCTCCCCCTCTCCCAAAAAAAGAAATGCAAAACGGAAGCCCACTTCGGTGCCCTCCAAATTGTCTATCCCACCGCATGCATACAAAAAAGGAACGCCTATGCCATCATCAACCAATGGCTAATTCCGAAATCATTGCATAGTAAATTGCAATCTCTATCGGGAAACAATCAACCAGTGTCAAGTGGGAATCGTCAAGTCACGTGCGCTTCAGAAGCCATCACGACGAGCTCAATAACAATATCAGGCCGTATATATGTAATAAAGATGGAATCGGAGAAAATGCTTCGAACATAAGAATGAAAGGCTATTTTCTAAACAGGAAAGTCATCTCCAAGAAAAAACTTACGCTTCAGTGTCGGTAACGGCCTTGAGTCCTTTGTTGATGTCATTTCCGAGCTCAACCAACGGATTCAGTCCTAGTTTACGTTTCAGCTCAGAAGCGTGCTTTTGGCGCGCGAGGAGAACCTGTTTCAGTGTTTGTATTTCCTCTTCAGTCTGAAAATAGAAAGAATATAAGAAATTATAGAGCACAATTAAATCCCGCTTGAACGAATACCTTTCGCAGCTCTTCCTTTAGAATAGCAGTTTCTGCATCACTGAGCTGTGTGGTACCATCGTAGGTATCAAAAACAGGATCGGCAGCTGCAAAGCCATTTATACATGATTTCTGACAAGCAGTATGTTTATTATTTAAATATGAATAAATAATGTTGAAATAAAAGGTAAAGCACTCACTAACAGACTAATTCTATTGAAACTTACATTCCATAGCGGGTGTAGCCATAATGAACACTGATGACGACAACGAGTAAAACGGCGAAAATCAATAAGCCACTTATACGTTCACGACTGAAATTAAACGAGTGTCAGATAGGACAAAATGAACGTCGTTGGTAGTGAACGCCTACGACCGATAAAATCAATGCCGCCAACAACAACGCTTGAGTGGCCATCATCGCAACATGCCTACGCTGTTGCCCCTATGGCTGGTCCTTGCCAAACCACGAACGGAAAAGCGATTAAATGTCAGCATGGCACCATGCCGGTAAACAATGAACGATTGATCGAAACCATGACAAAAACAATAGCGCGAAGCGGAAAAAAAAGTAGAAAATAACTGATCACTCACTAAATCACAGCAAAAAATGCGGAGAACGCACTCCTGATTACGAACAGCGGAAATCAAGCTATATATGAGAACACTAACCAGTTTTACAACAAGATGTCAAATGTAGAAGAAAATGGAATGATGAAAAGATCAACCTCGCTTTACTTCACTCTATTTGGACCCCCGCACGACTTTATTTTCCGCAGCAAGGACAGGAAGGAATACTTCATTTGAAAAAAAGTCTGAGTACGATTTGAGCTTCTCTTCGAGGTACCACGGGAGGAGGTGAAGTCCAACCAGGAGAAAACCACTTGGAGTTGCGAGTTACTTTCACATGAACAGTATTCTGCAGAACATCTAAAAGCATCATCAATACCATGACGTTCACGTGGGAGCGGTGCAGCCATACCAGTTATGCACGAAATAACAACCCCATAAGAGGTATAGGTGAGAGAAAAAACTTTTGAATGAACCTATTCTATGGCGAAAAGGAATTGAACAAAATCAGTCGCCGTTAAATGAACTTTCTTTTCCAAGAGGAAAACTGTAATTAGTGGAATGGCGGTTATTAAAACGTTCACGGAAAGGGATGGAGGAAGAGGATAAAAGCAGGAAGCTGTAATTCTCAAACTAAGCATTCTAAAGCTGTGGATTGGAAAAGAATCAACAACAAGGCATTATATTAAAAGCAAACACCTGAATAGGCTTTTGAGGTTATTACTACAAAAACCGTAAAGGTGTAGCTGACAATCCAAAGTCAAAAACCTCGCTAGGACAAAATATGGCCTCAATCAAATGAATCCAGTCACATCCATATTGGAAATAGAGTTCACTAAATACAATATTAAAAGAAATGTAAACTCAAGATGATTACTACTTGACGCATTCTTGGGAAATAATCAGATTTCTTCAGGCTACTATACACTCTGGACGAAAACAACGCCTAGCACGCAGAGTTGAGTGGACGTAAAGTAAACACAGCAACACGAAAGCAATAGGGTGCTCTTATGGCATATTAGTTGGAAAGATAGGGCGCATTAATAGTTCAATGGCTGAGCAGCAAGCCTTTCTCGAATATAAGCCATCTGAAACATCACTGTGACATTGACGAGTGCGTCGGCATTTATTCAGCTGGATATGTACACATGACATGCGACATGAACTACTGGACATCTTTCGAAATATCCAGTAAGTAGTGAGGGCTAGAGGGGATTCACTTAATCCTCGTTTAACCAAATCAAATGCTCGATTGGGCAAGGTGTTAGGGAAGCGCTGATTTGGTCATCCTTTGGGACGTTTTACAGACACGTCAAGGCTGAGGCCGGTCTTATTTTTTGGGCGAGCCTACGACATGACCATACCACCGAAGACGACTACGGCGCATTTTATCACTCAGATAACTGAGTGATAACAAAAACGAACATTCTCGCCTTAGAATGAAAAAAAAGTCTAACGATAATGAAGTTCCAGAAAGGATCGTGTCAATTTGAAAAGTTGGAACACCCAGAAATTAATATTGAGAGATAATCAATAGGGTGTTGAAAAGGGGTTTTCCGGACGATTCCTTTTTCCACATGGAAAACGACGTCTTGACAATCTAATACAACAAAATGTATTTCCAAACGCTTATTAATTTGAAGGTTTCACATCTTTTATGATTCATCTCAACAGCAATAAAACAGCGTAAAATAATGGGCAATCAATACGCCTTCCAAACCTTTCATTTTGAAGAATCGAAAATTCATCCATGTAACAGAACAGATTTGCAGAATGAAAAAGAATGACGATAAATGCTGACGTCCACAAGCCTTGGAAATGTGCTATCGAAGCACCACTGTATCAGCACAAAAGGCCATTTTTCTAGGGCACCACAATTCAAATTAAGAAGAAGTTGCAGACAGTATAACCCCAGGCACAAATTCACAAGGCTACCGTGAAGAATTTGGGACACCAATTAGGGTCATGCACCCGATGCGAGTGTCACTGCGGATCTGCAAGGAGTAAAAAGCATAGACTTTTGATGACCGATGAAATCCCCTGCAAGACCCTTCACTCCACTTCCCTTCCTTTTAATTTTACTCGAGCCCTCATCGGTTCCCTAATTCAGGATCTTCATTAAAACAGTGCTGTTACAAACAGTTTCGTGTTTTGAGAACAGGCTATGTTATGGAGCATAGGATTGGAGAAATCATGCGACTAAACTGAAAACAGCACAGTGCCAAATCAACTTTAGGGCAGTTTGAGATAAAAAAGAATTCTGTACTCATCATCCAGTAAGTGTGACCTAAAATGAGAAGAAATACATACGCCTGATTCTGATTTCGGCCCAATGATAAGGAATGAATCATCCCAGACTTGGGACAGGTTTCCGAAAAACTGTAAAGGAAATGTCGTGAGCTGAGAACAATAAACTATTGTGGGAGCAATGAATGGCGCACACACCAAGAATAGATTGCTAGGAATGTCAACGCCGAGAATTCACGTGACGTGGAATACTAATGGAACATAAACGACTGTTACTAAAACACAAAAGGGATTGCCAGTATGCTTGAGCTCGAGTTGGGCATGACGTGACTGATTACGGCTTCAAGAGATTGCAGCAGCTTCTTCGTAAATACATCCGTCTACCAACCGATCCCAAAAACATCATAGACCTGAGCGGAGATAGTGAGACAAAATAGTCCCGCGCACAAAATTGCTTACAACTCTTAATTTCATTAAACTCTCGAGTAACATACCCCTTTACCCGTTCTACCGATGGATCCCTCTGCCACCAACTTCTCTACACGAATTCGATCCTAAGCAAAGTGCAGTTGTTCAGCTACACATTTGCCAATATTTCACAAATATTTCAGTAGAAATGTACTGGAGAACAGCTTCCAAGAAATTGGAGAAGTCCCAGAGGAGCGCTGTACAACCCATTCAGTGGAAATAATCGAGACATTTTGTTGAACAAGTTGCAGAACGCGCCTTCTTCAACGTGATTTGCAGGGATATGATGAACTAAACCATGCAACTGCTCGTAGTGACATTTTACATCTGAGCTGACATGCTCCCCAACTCGCGACGATACTCACACCCAGATTTCGAGAGGTACTATCGTCTGAGAAGTAGAGTAAACGAAAAAGACATGCTACTCTACCCTACTCTCAATAGACGTTATCGGACACTGTTTCATAACATCGTTGCAGAACTGCTGACATTATAGGGATCATTAAAATAGGCCTAATTGACTCTGGGCAAAAGCAGGGTCTCAAAGACCACATAGAATAAAATGATGAATAATGACGAGAACAGGACGAAGAGGGTTCAAGTACGTGAAAGCAGTAAAAAAGAGGAAAAACCTGAGGCTGACTAGGAATGAGTTCCTCAATCAGTTCTGAAGGCTTCACAGTTGCAGACGAACATCGAAATTGTCACGATTTTTCGACCACTCGACAAGCCCTACTGTACAAAGAAGTGACAGCAGTCAAGAGTTGTAAAACTTTCAGCTAGAGCAGGCAGAGGGCCAAAAGGGAGAAAGCGAAAGCTCCGGCCTATCCGTGTCCAATTATTGAAAGAAAACAGTATATGACACAGCAACGATTCCTCGTCAGAGCCTAGACGTTAGCTGAGTCGAACTTAGGCCTTTCGACGTTTCGTTCCTTATCGAATAAATTTCTAATGCAAGCGTTCGAAATTCGGTATCGTTCACATAATCGATGTTTGAAGCAAGGGCTTAGACGGTGCAGGAAGAAATTCGAAAAAAATGACATGGTCCAAAGAATGTTTCAGAAGGTTTGCTCCTCTGTTACATGAAACGAGAGCGATTTACATAAACAGCAACGCGGTTTATGACGGCACGGCGACAACCGGAGCTCAACAATGTTCACACAATGACGACGTAATAGATGAATCATGAAAAGGAACGGATTTCAACAGCACCTGTCACCAGAAACGTCAAAGCAACTGGTGACTGAAGTTCGACCACGGCGACCGCGCCGCCGCGCGATGCGTCACGGTCGCCAACGTCGTAGCATTAGGTCAAGTTTACTGCTCGAACAAATTTCATTCATGGTGCCGCTTGAAACCTACTTCCACGTAGTGGCTTTCACGTTTAGAGCCAATTTAGGGCAGCTGGCTGTAAACACATGTTTTGTACCTTCTACAGCGAAGGAATAAGCATTGCAAACGCTGGTGTCCTGTATTCGACAAAAAGATTTTTTACCGACAACCACCCTTGAGAGTCCCCTTCATATCGTGTGCTGAAGTCGGGAAGTTCTGCCGAGGATCTGAGTTCTGGGAGTGTTCGTGGGCAATTTCGCGATTTTTGTAAAGAACAGCCGTCGGCTTATGTAGATACATTCCTGGAAATCATTCAAATGGCTACTTATGCACTTGACCCATCAGATGGGAGATGGCAGCTGCTTGTCCAGTCACACCAGGTCCGAGTTCGGGGTTAGTTTGTGGAACGGATAGGACACAGTTCAGCATACATGACCTAGACTTGATTAGTCACCAGACTAACAAAAAGTGGTAACCATCGAAATTCACTCGTGATACTACTTCCAGTGATAGTATGGCCTACCGTTCACCGAATGCCTTCTGGAAGTGGCTATGATTGTCTCCTGTCACCTTTGTATATTCAGATTAATCCTCCAGGCTCAGCGAAAAGGCGTTACGACACAAGAGTTGGAAAATGTCGGTGAAGGCTAAGCGTCGTAAATCTCAGGCTGAACCGGTGAGTCCCTTACGTATGCTAAGCGATTAGCAAAAATTTGAGTCCCACACACGATTGCCCTTAAAAATTTACAATACGAGTAGGAAGACTGGGCAAATAGCAGAGGCTCTTAATGGCGTTTTGCCAATTTTTNTTGATGCTTCGTAAGGCTACTGCAATGCTAACAGAATGGAAAGAAAGTAAATGTCTTACTCAAATCAGATTTAAACACTGAGCAGTGTACTCAAAAGCTTTCAAAGCTAAATGAATATTTATTTGAGTCAACTGAGTTATTTACCACAACACGCAAACATTCTCTCTGTGCTACATTTGATAGCCATTGTTTGGGTCTTTACTTCCATTGTCTTTGAAAGGGGAGGTGGGCGGTGAAATATGGCCATATGGGTTTTGCTCGTGTTTATCATTAGTAATGGCTTGCGAAGCTTACGAAGTAATAAGTTGATACGAGTTACGAGGGGCGCATTACCAGGCGTGCGTTTTGGTAGAAGTCTCGGATCGATTCTCGCCCAGCCATCTAAGCCTACCGTTCTTCCGGGATGGGTTAATTGGTACTAGACTCGTCGAGGTGATAAAGCAAGGGTTTGTGCATGCGTTCTCCATAAGTCATTGAAGAGGCCACTTCTCATTCAAAACGTCGCTACGATTCGAGCGGAAGTCAAATTCAGGGCGCATCCCAAAAACGGAGTTGATTAACGCCAAGTACTCTATCCATCATGAACTTGCACTCTGTTCATCCGAAATTGTGTTCATTAGGGACCATCAAACGAAGTGCTCACCATAACCGATAACGCAGCCGATCCAAAGAAGTTGTTCTACATCGTTGAGGACGAGCTACGAGCCTGGTTGAATTGGCAATGTGATGAAAGTTAGTCGAATTTTCATAAGTACTGTTCTTCGCTAATTTCTGGAACAAATTCTTGAGAAGAAATTTTTGGCCGTAAAATATCGCAGCGTTGTAGCTTGACAGCATTCTTGCTCTTTGGTTCCTTTTTTAATAAATTGGATAACGTGAATGCTCTTAGATGTGGAAGCTGTAATAAAATTAGCAAAGTCTCTCTGTGATCTTCTCAATCATCGATGGAATACCTCCATGAGAGCAGTCAGTACATCAATTTTACTTTTTTCATTCGAAATTATGTTCTTATCTCAAAGCTCACAAATATTTTATATTTGATCACAGACTATGTTAATGCAATATCTTCGATGTCTGGCCAAGCATGGCATTCCGTTCCATACTGAACGACAACACCGTCAAGGCCGATTTCTCAGCAGCGAAGAGTTCACTGGAAAATTTCTGCCTGTCAGGAACCTGAAACGTTTGTAAGTCGATTTATCAAGTCTTCGTCAACAATGTTGTTTTCGTGGTTCCTTTCAGTTTTCAAGACCTATCTGATCTTGAATTCAAGATGCGCTCGAGCATTTGGGCTTATCACAACATCTCCATAGGATCTACTAGGCTTGGAGAGATAGCACCTCTGTGAGTTTGTCATTTGTGAAGTTTTTATAATTTTTTTTATAAAAGTTTTTTTTCGAAAAGTGTTAACGCTCCAGTATGATGTTTTCATCATCAGTGCATCATGTTTCTTTCCCATCATATACTCTATTTTCAGAGCTTCATGGAAAAGTGCGAATATTTCGAGATTGAGATATCAACTTTGTATTGCTAGTAGACACCTCAACTATAGAGCAGTCGTCTCCAACTTAGGTAAGACTTACTGGTGACTTGATGCTTTTTTACGACCCACTCATTAATGTTTCATGGTCAGTCAATATTGTAAAAAATAACGCCGTTACCTTTTTGACTATCGGTACATGTCCAATTATGATTGATATAGCGTGTTAAACAATGATTGATGTTAAACAATGAGAATGATTTGATCTTTTTGTGTAAATCGTTGTCCTAGCCTTCTATCTCAAGCACATACAGTCCAAATAATTCCATTTGTAGCCAATTCTGAAGTTCTGCGGATGACCACGGAAATTATTGAGAAGGAGAGGGATGGCTACAGAGATCGCCAGTACAATATACAGAATTTGATTTATTTTGATAGTCCCATTGCAATATGGATGGCTCTCCAAGCAACACTTTCCATGAAACACGTAAGTGTTTCCTTCCACTCATAGAACGTGCTCAACGAAAAACGCTTGAAGGATTTGTCTTTTGATATGGGTAATCGCTTGGTACTACTTGCAGCCATTCAAAACATGGTTTACACGACAAATGCGTGAGTTTTCCTTCTTTTTTTCGGGCCAATCCCATCCTCAATACGCATTTGTAAAGCTATTCAGATAATTCAGAGCAAAGAATACGATACTGATGCAGATGTGCGAATTCCTTATCGCAACTATTCTGTGTGGTAATCCAACTCACGTTGCCGCTGTTGTTGCCCTCGAGAACTCAGTGAACCGCTACAACAAAAGCTACGAGGTCAGTTAAACCACTCTCTCATTATCATTATTCAAAAATTGTCAACTTCTCATAGTTTCCAGAATGCTGCTGTATGGAACGCGTACAAACTGATCGCTGAATACGAAGAATGGCGAGGACGTGCGGGGTTTGGAGGTATGATACTCAGCACAGCGCAATCGCTCTTCGAAGTAGCAGAATGTGAGTGGTTCTAGCAGTTCCTTATCCACTTGAGGCGGAAGCAGTACCAACATGGTGAATCGCATTCACTTTTGTAAGAATTTTATTCGTATAATTCCAGCGATGCCTAGCCGAGCGACTTTGTTTGTGGAGACAGCCTGCCGCATATGGGCCAAGCAGGGTCGTTGTGAGGAGAAAATGTTAGTTCAAATCTCAAATTTCTAAGTTTTTCAAAATTAGGTGAAGTTTTTGTAGTAGGTTTCGTTTTTGGCTAAGAATATAGTGGAACATGGGCAGTTCTACGGAATAAGTAATGGGAGCTTACAAAGTTTATACGCAGTTTATCATTTGTTTTGAGTAAGAACTGCAACTTGCTCTTTCCCATGATAAACCCTTACAAAAGAGAATTATCAAATACAATTACGTATGAAGTGGACCGATTCAGAGCAGAAGCCGTTTCGAAAGTTGTCAATCAATGCCCCCACCTACTTGGGCGAATGACAAGATTCTTACGCGCGATCGACTTCGACCACGAAATTGAAGTAGTTGTGGATGAAGTATGAACGTTGACTACAGTTGTTACTTCAGTACCGTCGACTTTTTTCCTTTATACTATTGGACGAAAATAGGGCGATAAATGCATGCAATCATTTTCAGGTTTGTGGGATGAAAAACACGACTCTTTCCCCAAGCGATCCCGCTTGGTTGGACTGGTGCCAATCTTGTGTTGAACGTCCTGAGAGGTGGACCACTAATGAATTCCACATACATTTTCAGAGAGATCTCATTCTCAAGGTTTCAGGCACGGCAAAAGAGAAGAGGTTCTCTCACGGTGTGTCGACATTCTGTTTCGATTCCTTGACTATGGTTCGAATCGAGGCTCGGCACGGGCTTGGGTTCTACTTCATGCAGTTGTACAATTAGTTAACCCAAGACTTTTCATTCCTATATGGGCTCAAAGGTATGATTGGTGGCCTAGATTTCATGTAGTACCCTTACCTCCGGAAGCCGAGTCCCGAAGGGCTGAGCTATTAGCAGCTCTAGCAGAAACGCCTGTCGAGTGATTCCTTCAACCTACTTTCAACTCAGTTGATGTGTCCTTTTGAATCAAAGCTCAATCTCTAGAAGGGAAGTGCTTGTGCCTGATATACTGCGAGTTCCCTACTCTCGAACACGAGTAGTATTATTATTGAAGACCAAACCGTTTTGTTGAATTACGGTAACATCTTGTCTATCGTACCTGCACGGTGACTGGCTTTCATTTTGTTTAGAAGCTTTATGGTCAGGGACCTGTTTTACTTATTAGTACTAAGTGAGCATAGCTGAAATAAACGGGTTGAACCACATTGAGTTTTTTGTTTGTTTGTTGTTTGTTGTATTCAGATATTTTGATGCAGTTGTTGCTTGTTACAGAAGATTTAAAGTTCTGCTTAAGCCTTTACGAGTCTGTTAATTGTTGTTATTAATTGTTTTCTGTGAAATCCGCAGTTTTCATTTCGGAGTATTGTTTGTTTGTTTGTTTATAGTGGCTTGATTGGGCAGTTGCTCTGTGAGATAAATTATTAAGCGAGCCACATCTGTTCTTGGGAGAGGCTTACAGACCTTTTTATTTATTTTCACTCATTAGTCCTACAAATTTGAAACTATCACCATTAAATTAACCATTATGGAACCTTCTTTCAAGAACTATACCCTGATGACCATATGCACCTCGGATCGATTCGAGGAGCCGGTCACAGGGGTGTAGTCTTTGAGGGAGGTTCGTTCTTTCCACTCACTATCTCTAAAGGTTTCGCCATGCTGGTTTAGTACTCAAGCAGTAGATGTCCATCTAATTATCAAATGCCACTCTGCGCCATGCTGTGACAACATGAACAGTTCTTTGAGTGATTGTGGTACATGTGCGGTATTTTTCAGAGGATTGTCATGATCTGCTCAATGAGTTCACTATGAAACTTCTTAAATCTTTGAAACGCCTTATTGAATCAGGCCAGTACTAGTTATAGACTTTACTGTGGTAAAAGGTAGGTTTTTTGGGTACGTGCTTTTGGTAGTCGTTAAGGTGCTCCATTACAAACGGCGCGCCGAAACTGCAACCTGCAAGAGTTTAAGTGCCTATCTAACATTTTCGAAAACTTCGAAGTTTCACCTTTTCCCATGTCTCCTTCTGGGTTCTCTTTATGCGGCCATGGGAGAAAGTCTTGAATCTCAATGAGGAGGCTTACTGCAGTTATGGGCTGCTTTTTCTTCATGGCTATACGCTCTAGGTTCTTATAGATCCTTTCCTTCTTTTGCCTTTTGTTTTGCTGTTATAACGAGTAGCCGTGCTGCATTGGTGACCGTAACCGTCGTTTTCTCCTCTCAAGAATAGTTTTCTTACGTGATGTTTAATTAGTTCCATTTAAGGGTATAAAATGGGGGAGAATGTGGCTTCCCCTGTTTACGCTGTGTATTACCCAGCGGATATCGCCAAATCCCCGCGGAATGTATTCATGACACTGAAGGAAGCTGTCAACTTTGCCAACTCTCCTGAAGGAAAGTCTAAAGGTTTGTAGAATTCATTTACATTTCTTCCACTTATAGGTCTAGTCTTTAAGAGCATCTTCGAATTGAGGAAATAAGTCTTAGAGGCCTTCGTTCTATCTTTTGTTTCTCTCTCTCTTTTTCACTTTATCTTTTTATCGGGTTCTGATTTGTTGTTAAATGATTCTATCAGGTGTGGAGTCCTTCATTTTGAGCGCAGGTAATTCACTGTAGAATATTGCCAGCATTTCAAACTCTATGTCGTTCCTATTGTTTTTGAATCCATCATCCATGCGCAGAAGGGGTTATATGTAGCCATGGAGACGTTCATCTAAATTCTTCTGTTATATACTCATTTGAAGGGAAGCGAAGTGGTTGAGAGAAAAAACGAAGGGTCTGCGTAGTTGCAGGCTGTGTGCACTCTCAGCATTGAGTGCACCACGAAGGGGTCTGAAGAGATCTGCAAAGTGCAGTCACCCTTTATGTTCGAACACTTAAATTTTTCAAGGAACTTAAGCCCCTTCATGAACTCTCACTAAATATTGAACTCTACGAAGGTCTAAATAAAGGATGACCCTGTTCATAGTATGATTCAAGTAAACATCTTCCTTATTCAGGCGCGCGCTTTAACCGTTTCGGAACTCCTAAAGAAGCGATGGACTTTTTTGATTCTGGCGAATATCGAAGTCCTCCTCCACAGCCTGCAACGCCAACTTTGATGTCAGAACCAACCATTCCTCATCCGTCAGTTAGTCGTATTGATATGAACAAGCTCAAGAGGGCCATTGAAAAAGAATCGGTTCAGGCAGTATGGTAGGTAAACTGATTTTCTGGAACATTTTGTCGTCTTCTTGCTTTCTGAAGAATCTCCAAATCCCTCATCTTTCCAGTGAGCTCGTCGATTCAAATCCCCGATTTCTTGTTAACACGAACGGTGACATAGCAGCTATAGTTATGGTATGGATCCTTCCTGTTTTTTTTTTACTTCTTTTTACTTCCTGTTGCTGTTAATTTTTAAAGACAGCATCCTAACTGAGGATCATAGTTGTCAGCTGCTTCAACCAGTCCATGGCTTCTAGTCTGGTTGAATTCTGGCCTTTACTTCAACTCTTTCGTTGTTCACAAAATAGGGCTGTACAAGAGAAGTTACCAGCCAAAGCGACTTTCAATAAGATTCCACAGTAGTGCGCGTACACAGATTACATAGTAGAAGTGTGAACTGACAGGAACGAAAGTTTCAATGTTCCCTGCTCATTCTTGAAATTTTGTTAGCAATTTCAGGAAGGATTCCGATTTAACGCTTTACATATAGCTGCTCGACACGGAAAAAGCGATGTAGTGGAAAAAGTCCTCGAACTCGTAAGCAACATCGATTTCCTCGCAGATCTCTATGGCACATCTAAAGAGGATGCACAGTTTCGTGCAAACAATATCATGGCTTCCTATTTGAATACTCCTGATAAGGTATATCGATTTCGATTCTGTTTTTTGACTTTCTATTCTTGTACTTTCTTGTGTAAGACAGAATTGTTTGCTCATTGGTTTGGTTACCCCTCCATTACCTTCGTAAATATACCATATCGAACCTTTTCCAGGGCAACTGTGAAACACCGCTCCATCTTGCTTCGAAGTTTGGACATGTAGACGTTGTTAGAGTATTAGTGAATCAGCCACTCTTGGAAAAGCACCTCCTGAACAAGTAGGTCCCGAACTAATATTTTTCCAATTGTAGCGGCAAAAAGAGTCCATTTATACTTTTTTCTTGTACTGGTGTGAATGAAAGCCGAAGTATGACTAAAGTAGTGAACTATGAGGCTTGTTCTCTAGGACATTGGAACTAAAGCCGGTGTTTCAGTGAGGGTAAAACAGCGCTTGAAATCGCATGTGGAAGGTACTCTGGAGAGGATAAGAAGAGGCGAAAGGACGAGATAGAATTGCTGCTTGGAGGCTTCTTTGTTGCCGTCTACCGCTCACCCGACAACAGCGTACCGGCCAAAATTGTAGCTTCCGAAACGTTTCCAAAGTTAACTCTTCCGCTCGATGTGAGTTACATGAGTAGTATATAAAAATTTTTTCAAAATCAGGTGGTGGTATCAGAAATTTGGCACAAAATAAGATGGCTGTTCACGTTTCTGATCATAATATGATTTCCCTTGTAGTCATCGGAGGTCCAGCCTTTCCTAAAANTGTTTTTCAAGCTCAGAGTTATTCATTATAGATCGAAGGACCGTGTTCCCCTTTGATGTCAGCGCTTAAACTGACAGGATATGCTGGACCTTTCGGCTCGAAGGAAAAGGCTGCACAGTTCCTTACTAGTTGGGCTGGTTCAGAAAAACACGTCAAGCTATCAGATGTGGATAAGGTGAAGTTTTTAGGCCATACGCTCATAGTTTGACTCTTCAATTACTTCTCATTTACCTTTGAACTCGTTACTACCTTTTTGTTGTATCGGATCCCTTTCTTGTTCAGGGATACGAACGCGTCGGTCGCGAGTTAAGCACGAAATTTAATGTAAAATGGGCGGAGTCATGGTGTTTCATAGATCAGTTTGTCGATCTAAGGACGGAAGAAGGTCTCGATGCTTTGAACTCCTATCTGGGTCGAATGAAGCAAAAGGACTCCTTACTGCCGGCGGATGATCTTCGAAAACGATTGGTATTCGATGATGAGGATGGTTCGTAGTTAAAGCTAATCGTGATTTTCATCTGATTAATATTTAAGGTTTTTGATTGTGTAGTGTCGTTTGAAATTTGTACAGATTCTGCAGGAAATAACCAAAAATGGGAAATGGAGGTCCGAAATTGCGCAGAATGAGTGAGTAATTGAAGGGGGTCGGTGATAAGCTCTTTCATTAGAAGTTAATTAGAACTGCCAGCTGCTTCGGTATTAAACATGGTCTCTTGATGGATACGGCAGTGCATTCTCTGACTTCGCTCCTTTTTTCCATACTATGTCAAAGTTTTAGGTTGCTTCGCGGTTTCCCTCGCCAACAAGTGTTGCAGTTGTCCTTTGAAAATGAGTTCATTTTTCAGATCAACCACGATGTCTTACTCCTAGCGAAGACGGCTTTTTAGACGACGATGATGATAAATTTGAGGATGCTGCAGAGTCAGTAGATGAAATCGATAACACAGTTCTCAACGATTCGCTTGCTAGTCTGTCGGCACGATTGAGTTTATTAACACTACACTCACCAGGTGACGTAGTGGTAGAAGATAGTCTAAGGTAATACCATTTTCAAGCATTATTTTAGCTTTATGACAGTGTTCGCGATAAAAATGATAGAGTGTCTTGTAGGAGAGTGAGAGATAGAGAGAGGGGGTAATCTCCAGGAATCTTTTCGATTTTCTTGAGAATTTTGCTGTTTTTGCAATCCTAGGAACTTCAAGGCGATTCTAAACGCACTGGTTCATTCACATATTCTAAGTAAATTTGTGTCGTAAACTCCTCAATAGAATACTTTTAACTAGATAGAAATATAGCTTATAACGAAATTTTTGTTGTGCACACTGTCGTCAAGCTCTTATTGGTTTACATTGATGACGGTCATCTTCAGAAAAAAATTCATGCTTGTATGGTATTTTCTTGATAGCATGGATGAGTTCTGTTGTGTGTATTTGCATAACCAGAACAATATCTAAACGTTTTTGTTGTAATCATTCCATAAAGACATTTTTGGAGACTTATGTTAGCTCCTTAGCCCAGAATAGTGTAAAGTCAAGGGATGGTGTAAAATGAACTAGATGGTCTAGTGTAAATCAGACCTAAGGGAGTGTCGTAAGAACTTGCCCTGAATCGGAGAATCCCTCTAGAATTTGGTACTTCACCCAATGTAAAGATGATTCTCTCTCTGAAAGGATTCAGGGGATCGAAAGAGCAAGGGAGATGCAAAAACATTGGTCAAACACGGGCTCATTGGTGTGTAAACACATCTACTCATTAATTTCATCCATTTTCCACTTTCCCTTCTTCCTTTCTATTTTAACACAACGTTCTGTCTTTTGAGTTGAATTCTTCGATTCTTTTGTTGTGTGATTTTACCCTTTCCCTACGCTTTCGCTTCTTAGTGCAGTAGATGATTAGATGCATGTTGTAGTGAGAAATGTTTCTGTAATGTTGCTTAATTTTGTTTTATAGAGAAGAACCGAATGACTTTGGGGAGTTTTTCACACCTCCAGCTACTCCACCGCCAGTGTACCTTCTGGAGAATCCAACAAAAGTGGACAACGACGTATTGAATGCTCTAGCAAGTGTTCCACAAGAGAAGGTATGTGGTGTGAATTTGAAGAATCTGGGTAGCTCGCTTCAATCTCTTTAGATTTGAGTTTTTTCCGAGGTGCCCGTTATCTTGCTCAATACATTCCTTGTCGTATTCAGATTGATCTCTTTCCTCATGTACGGCAGTTCACAGAGAAACTCAATCGTGTCTCAAACCGCGTACGTTCTGAATGGCCATCGCTTGACTCTCCACGTCGAGCTAAAAGCAAAAGTCGAGTTACTACAAACTGATATCCTTCTATCGGACGCTCATATATATGATCTTCTGTTAAATTTGTAAAACGGCCTCGATAGATTACTTATGAGCTTTTTACGCCCAATTCTTCATAGGCTTGGGATCAATTATTCCTTGCCGTTCGATGCTGAATAGACGTTCTATTCAACTCCTTCACCCTACTGTTACATTGTACACTGTACATATCGTTTTCTTTATGTCTTAGCAGTTTTATTAGAAGATTTCAGTCAATTCGATGCGGTTAATTTTTTAACAGTTATGGTTGAATAGGTTTCACTTGAGAAATTTGCTTTATTTTGGATAATATTTACTACGTGTTGACAAGTTGCTTTTAAATAAATATTGAAATATAGATGGAAAACAGTCGCACCATCCTGTATCTTGTTGGACGAATCTCTAGAAGGCGAGGGACAGTTGTACAGTAGTGGTGGAACAGGATAGGAGGCTGGAGCAGTAGGTATTACAGCGAGGAGGACGACATTAGGCGAAATGGCAACGTAGGACGAGTGAAGTCGAAAGACTGATGATGTGGCCAGATTTACTGCCATTTACCACGATAACTACTAACAATGGGGTGACACAAAAATCATTTTTTTCACATACATTTATTCAACGTCCTCCAAAGAAACCCTTTCTCAAACTGACCAAAGTGTAGAGTATAGAGTATAGAAGAGTAGGGTGCAAGACAGCGAATATTGAAGTGTATTAAGTCTAATTGAAGATTG